GATGCAGAGGCTCGTGGTGACCTCCATGCATCCTGTCTTTCTCCTTTGGGGAAAGCAAATGGAAACGGCTCAGGAATCTCACTAGGACCAGGTGCGGTGGCTCACACCTGTCATCCCAGCACTTTGGGAGGCTGAGGTGGGAGGATGGCTTCAGCCCAGGAGGTCAAGACCAACCTGGGCAACATAGTGACACCCCCTTGTCTCTACTAAAAACCAACAAAAACAAAAAAATCCGGGACTGGTGACTCATGCCCTGCTAATCCCAGCACTTTGGAAGGCCGAGGCGGGCGGATCACAAGGTCCCGCGAGCATCGAGACACATTCTGACTAACAGCTGTGAACCCTGTCTCTCTACTAATAAATACAAAAAAAATTAGCCGAGCGTGGTGGCGGTGCCTGTAGTCCCAGCTACTCAGGAGGCTGGGGCAGGAGAATGGCGTGAACCCGGGAGGCGCGAGCTTGCAGTGAGCGAGATCTGCCACTGCACTCCAGCCTGGGCGACAGCGAGACTCCCACCTCAAAAAAAAAAAAAAAAAAAGGCCGGGCGCAGTGGCTCTCGCTTGTAATACCAGCACTTTGGGAGGCCGAGGCGGGTGGATCACGAGGTCAGGAGATCGAGACCATCCTGGTTAACATGGTGAAACCTCGTCTCTCCTAAAAAGTACAAAGTAGCCGGGCGTGATGGTGGGCGCTTGTAATCCCTGCTACTCGGGAGGCTGAGGCAGGAGAACGGCGTGAACCCGGGAGTTGGAGCTTGCAGTGAGCCAAGATTGCACCACTGCACTCCAGCCCGGGCAACAGAGTGAAGAGTCCATCTACAAAAAAGAAAAGTAATCACAAGTCACAGTCATCGCTTCACGTCAGGGATGTGTTTTGAGAGGTGTCCTCAAGCAATTTCATGGTTGTGCTGATGGGCTAGGTTGCTCTTACATACCCTAGATGGGCTCCTGGGCTGTGGACCTGTGCAGCAGGTGACTGACTGCTCAACCCTGTAGGCACTTGTAACCCAGTGGTATTTGTGTCTCTAACATAGAAAAGGCATAGCAAAGGCCAGGCGCAGTGGCTCATGCCTGTAATCCTAGCACTTTGAGAGGCCGACATGGGCGAATCCCAAGTTCAGGAGTTCGAGACCAGCCTGGCCGACATGGTGAAACCCCGTCTCTACTAAAAATACAAAAACTAGCTGTCCATAGTGGCGGGCACCTGTAATCCCAGCTACTCGGGAGGCTGAGGCAGGAGAATCTCTTTAACCTGGCAGGGGGAGGTTGCTGTGAGTCGAGATCGTGCCACTGCACTCCAGCCTGGGCAATAAAGTGAGACTTCATCTCACAAAAAAAAAAAAAATTAAAAGGCACAGCAAAAATATAGTTGTGGCTGGGGCAGTGGCTTATGCCTGTAATCCCAGCACTTTGGGAGGCTGAGGGGGCAGATCACTTGAAGTCAAAAGTTCAAGACCAGCCTGGCAACATGGTGAAACCCCATCTCTACTAAAAATACAAAAATTAGCCAGGTGTGGTGGCAGGTGCCTGTAGTTCCAGCTACTCAGGAGGCTGAGGCAGGAGAATTGCTTGAACCTGGGAGTCGGAGGTTACAGTGAGCCAAGATAGCACCACTGCAGTCCAGCCTGGACGACAGGGCAAGACTCTGTCTCAAAATATATACATACCAAATAAATATACAGTTGTCTGTAATCCCAGCACTTTGGGAGGCCGAGGCGGGCAGATCACAAGGTCAGGAATTTGAGACCAGCCTGACCAATGTGGTGAAACCCCGTCTCTACTAAAAATACAAAAATTAGCCTGGCGTGGTGGCATGCACCTGTAATCCCAACTACTCAGGAGGCTGAAGAACAAGAATCACTTGAACCCAGGAGGTGGAGGTCGCAGTGAGCTGAGATTGTGCCACTGTACTCCAGCCTGGGTGACATGAGTGAGACTCTATCTCAAAAATAAAAAATAAAAATAAATACAGTTGTAATCTGATGGGACCACTATCAGGTATGTGGCCTGTCACCGACGAGATTATTCTGTAGTCGGCAATGATGGCCATTTGTGGAGATGTGAATCCAGTTCATTTGAGGGAACCCCCAAGGTTCTCTGGTTGTGGCCTCTCGAATAAACCTCACATTTGGACAGTTTGTTACCAAATTGGGTTCTGGATGTTGGGTTCCCTTCAGTGTTGGGGGTGGGAGGGAGGGGTCACACCCGCAGAGGCCCCCACCCCCACCAGCACCAGTGTGGCTGCCACCTGCAGTGCTGATGGCCATGCACCTTATCTTTCCAGGTTGGTGCTGAGGACATGGACGGCTTCCAGGCAGACACAGAGGAGGAGGAAGAGGAGGAGGGCGAGTGTATGATCGTGGACGTCCCGGACGCTGCAGGTGAGAAGGGCTCTAGATAGCAGAACGCACTGGTGAGGTGGGTGGGGGAGGTAAACCTCAACAGGGAAGGGATGGCGCCGCCTAAGACTCGCTCCATTGTGAGCTGCCAGGAGGGTTTGCAGCTGGAAGTGGCTCCTACCCTGCCACGTCCTCTGCCACTTGGGCAGAGCCACAAGCGCCTGTGCTGGGAGTCTCAGGTGGCGGGACGTTAGATGGGGGTCAGGGAAGACTGCACTGAGGCGGCAAGGGAGGGCCCGGTGGATTTCTGGAGGACTCCCCAAAGAGGAAGTGCAGAGGCCTTGCAGCAGGCTGTGCGGGAGCAGTGTGCCCAGGTGGTGGGGGCAGGGTCAGCCTGAGAGCAGGTGAGCAGGTCACCTCTAGAAGGGGCACAATGCCCCAGCTTCCGCCTGCCCCCACTGTGAGGTGAAGGGTTCTGCCCTGGGGCCGTTGCAGGCCCCATGAGGCAGCAGGGTGGGGTCCTCCCCCAGGGAGCCCAGCAGGCACAGCCAGCTCAAGACCTTCCCTTTCTTGCCCTGCAGAGGTCCAAGCCCCGTGTGGAGCTGCTTCCGGAGCTGGGGGTGGTGTGGGGGTGGACACTGGCAAGGCCACCCTGCCTGCGAGCCCACTGGGCGCGTCGTGAGAGCAGTGATGACATACGTAGAACGCTTAGGGTGTCCTCCCCACGGAGCAGATACTTGAACCGACTCGATTCCTGTGTAAAGAGCACTTTGTCCTGCTTCACGGACCTCCCCAAGGTGTGCAGAGTTCTATATAGGATGCTGGATTAGTTCCTTTGATATTTGTAAAAATTCCCCCAAGAGCTGCATATGAATCTGCCCTTTAATAAAGCATTATTGAGATTGCTGGCCTATCGGGGAAGCCTGCAGGCACAGGAGCAGGCGTGGAATCCAGTACTTGTAAATGAATTGAAGCGCCAGGACCACCCACCTGGCCATGTGCACGGGCCCGTGTATAAACGAGGCAGTGTATAAAGAGGCAGTGTATAAACTTATTCTCTAGCACTGAGCTGCTCTGTCTTTTCTGAGAACATCGTGTTTCTCTCAGAGTGCGTCGTGTCTGGGGCCAGCCTTGTGCCCTGCAACAGCGCTGTCCCATCTGTTTGACGCTGTCATCCTCATACCAGGCTGACCTGGGTCAAGGTGCAGGTTTTCCGCATGTGCTTCTGTCCAGCAATCCCTCCTGCCCTGGGTTGGGGGGTTAGGAGGGGGTGTTCCCGGGGACTTGCTGGGGTCTCCTTCCTCAAACCAGAGCTGCTGGGAGCTGAGTTTGGCTTGGAGTCTGAGACTTCGTGAGAGCCCACCCCTAGGTCGGGTGCATCTTTTGTGAGTGCTGGAGCTAGGAGGTGATCTCCCTGCCCCACGTTGAGTGGGCTTTATCCCCACTGTCCCCAAGGGAGGACTCTGTGGTGCTGAGCAGCTCAGAGCACACGCAGCCATGGGGAGGGTCACGCTCGCCAGCCCTGCTCCTGGCCACACCCCACCTGAAATCTAAGCTTCCCTTCAGGGAACCCCATGTGGGAAAGGTGTCAGCTACCTCCATCCACCCAGTCAGGGACGGCAGGAGGCCCCGGCCAGGCTTTCCTGCTGGGAAGCAGGATTCGGCTGTGCATGAGGCAGAGGCTGCCCCTGTGCCACACCTTCGACGAGCTTTAGAGGGGCTCCCGACATCCCAGAGTCAGGGGTTCCTGACAACCTGAAGTCAGGTCCTGGGGCCTGCAGGGACACAAGACTGGAGTGACAGCCTTCATTCTCAACAGGCCGGGTGCCCACACCAGCTAGGGCAGTATCGGGGCGAGGGAGGGACCAATGCAAGGTCAGGGGCATGAGCATAGACCCTGGGCACCTCCCCCAGGTGCAGACCTGCATCCCCAAGTCAGCAGTGGGCCCGGGGCACGCATGCCTTCCACACTGCAGGGCGGAGTCCCTGTGTCTCCTGGGGCTGCCACACCGCAAACCTCCTGGTTTAAAGCAACAGTCACCATCTCACAGCCTAGGGGTCAGAGTGCACGCGTGCCTCACCAGTCTGACATCAAGCTGTGGGCAGGAGGACCAGGCCCTCCTGAGACTTTCCCAGTACTCAGAGGCACTGCATCCCTCAGCTCAGGGCCCCTTCCTCCACCTTCACAGCCACAGTGCAGCCTCTTCCAGTCTCTCTCTGACCTCTGCCTCACCCTCCTGCCACCTCTTGTGAGGACACTGGGTCCTGGACCACCCAGGATCATCTCAGCTCAAGACCTTTCATCATACAATCCAAGCCCCTCTTGCCAGGTGAAGTCGCGCATCTGCAGGTTCCAGGAAGAGGATGTGGCTGTCTCAGGACGCCCTGTCCTTCTGGCTACAGGGAAGCCAGGCCTGTGACAGCACTCGCCTCCCAAGCTGGGGGAGGCCCGCGGGGACTGGGCCTTTGTGGGCACAGCACAGCCTCCCCTAGCGCACGGGATTTCCTCCCCAGGCAAGTGCTTGTGGCCAGGCATTGGCCCGAGAGCAGGTATCCACCTGGTGCCGCCTTGACAGGGAGCCATGCCCAGCCCCCGTGCCGCCTGCTCTGTAGCAGGTGAGCCTGCCCTGTGTCCCATGGTTTCAATGGAGCACCAAAAAACTACATTCAAACACCCTGTTTATTTGGGCTTATGATTTACTAACTGCAGGTCTGTGTGCGGGAAGGCCAGCGTCCCCTCCTGCCATCGTCACCCACATCCACAGAGCAGCCCTAGCGCCAGGTGCAGCCGCTGCCACCCACAGCACACGGGAACAGGACTCGTGCTGCAGGCCTGCTCTCCTGCCCAGGGAGATGCCACGTGTGTCTGCCTGGCAGCTTCATGACACAGTTACCAGCAGCTAGGGAGGGCTTAGATTTGATGGCGTCCCCAGGCCTCTCGGGGGCTTGGGCGCATCTCCACAGCCCCCAGGAGATGGGGGCTCTGCCACGGGGCCCAGTTCCACAGCTCCACAGCTAGCTGGCGCCCCTCCCGTGCCCATGGGGCAGAACCAAGTATTTCCAGAGGTGGCTTGGAGGCCCTGGGGTGGCGGGGAGAGGAACAGGGAGAGCATGAGACAGACCCACAGGGCTGAGGCCAACCCTGCTTTTATTTCAAGAGAGCTTCTCAATGGCCGACAGGAGCTCAGGTTTCAGGATGGCGTCCGGCTCGACCCCCGCAGCCTTGATGTCCTCCAGCACAGCCATGTCCCACGAGAAGGTCAGGAGGGCAGAGGGCACCTGCGGTGGGGGCAGGCTGTCATTCTGTCTCCATGGGCCGTGCAGTGGAAGGACAGAGCCGAGCACAGTCGGCCCTTCCCGCCGCGGGAAACTCAGTGGGCAAGCTGGGCTCGGGGATACCCTGGCCTGGAAGCCATCTCAGCTGGTGGAGGCTGTGGCTCACACCCCGGCCTCCTGCCCTCTCCCTCCGGGACTCCCGGAACCTAAGCCTAAACTTACTGCACTAGCTAACACGCGTCACTGCTCCCATTTGACGGGGGAAACTGAGGTGTGGAGTAGTTCTGAACTCGCTCAAGGCCCTGTTGCCAGTAAGTGGGAAAGTGGGATTCAAACCCAGGGACCTGCCCAGGCCCCCTGCTCTGAAACAAGGAGGCTCCCTCTTGAGGGGCTGTGCCGGTCCCCGGAGAACCTGCAGAGGCACCGGGTCAGCAGTCCCCTGCGGGCCAACACTCACCAGCCCGCACTCATTCAAGGCCAGGTTCTCGTCCTCCGACAGCTTCTGCCCTCCCGAGGCCAGCAGCTCAAAAGGCAGCCAGTCGCTCTGCAGGGCCTCCCGAACGAACCCGTACACTGCCCCCAGCCGTTCCCGGGCGTAGAAGGTCCCTGGGGAGTGGGGAGGTCAGCGCAGGTGGGGTCCAGGGCCCCCAACAACCCAAGCCACCCTCCCTGGGCGTCGCAAGTGCCCACCCTGCAGGAGGCAGCCGTCCGGGAGGCGCACGCGCAGCAGCGTGTAGGTGTACTTGCGCAGCCCCCGCTGCTCCTCCTTCTCCCGCATGGCCTTGGTGCGCAGCACGCTCAGCCGCTCCACTGCCTCGGACCTGCACATGAGGGCCAGGTCAGGAGCTGGCCCGGGTTCTCCCACCCCGCCCCACTCCGCTCCGCGGACACCAGGCCCACCTGAGCCTCTGCTCCCGCTTGATCTCCTCTGCCGTGAGGTTGAAGAAGTCCCCGGGCAGTTCGAACTGCGAGGCCAGGGGCGAGGGCTGGAAGACGCGGCGCTGCCGGTCCAGCTTGGCGCGCACGGGCTCCGCAGCCAGCAGCTGTTCCTTGTGCCTCTCCAGGCTCTGGGGCTGGGCCAAGGTGGTCTCGCTCAGCACGTAGAACTCCTCGGGGTCCTCTACAGCACGGCAGGACATGGGTGTCACTGTGCAGCGGAGAGACCCCCAAGCCGGGCCCTCCTGCCCCGAGGCCCCTTGTCCCCATTCGCCACTCAGCCAAGCCCTGTCCGCTTACCCTGATCCTGGATGGGAAGCAACACCTTCTGGAACCCAATGGCCTCAAAAAACTCGTGGGTCCCTTCCAGGCAGTTAATGCGCTCCTGGGGGTGGAGATGGGGGTCACTGGGGACCCCTGGCTTCCTCCATGGCCCAGCCACGCCCCACCCGGTCCAGGGGCCCAGCTCTCGCTATTGGGAGCAGCTGTTGACCCCTGTATGGGGCCCAGCCCTGGGGATGCCTCAGTACTAGGTGCAAACCTGCTTTTCTAAGGTGGGGGCTGTGGAGTCTCCACCAGCTCCGCACAGAGGAAAAAGTCACAACCAGGCACGAAGAGTGAGGCTGAGGAGCCAGATACTGCTGGGGCCTGAAGTGAGGCTAACACAGGCCAGGGCAGCCAGACCCTGCCATTTCCCCCAGAAGAACCAGACATCTGGTTTGCATGAGAAACCTCCCCAGTGCCGACAGGTTCCCAAACAAGCCCAACTGAAGAGGAGGAAAAGGATGTGGGTGAGGAGAGGCAGAATTTGTTGATTTGAGGTGACTGGTGCATTAAAATCTTGCTCGCTATCTTGTCCTGCTACCTTCTACTGGCCGAACGCTTCACTGCTTGGGGCTCAACTCTCGCTAGCTCCTCCAGGGACTGCCTGGTGTGGGCCACCACCGGCTCCTGCAGGCCGGCTGCCCCCACCCCCAGCCTGGGCCCAGGGGCCACAAGGCACGCCCACCTGGAACACCTTGTTCTGCAGCTTGATCTTCCGGTACTTCTCCTCCTCGGGGTGCAGGTGGATGTTGTCCAGGTACCTGGGGTAGGTGGAGAGGGTGAGTGGGGCACAGCCCAGGCTGCCCGCCCGGCCCCTCTGTGCCTCCTGCCCCAGGTCAGTGGCTCAGCCACACTTGGCCTCTAGTCAGAGGGAAGAAGCGGCCCAGTGACCCCAGGGCAGGAGACCGTCTCCGGGTGGAAGGCATACCTCGCACACCCCACGGAGCCCACCCCTGGTGCCAGCAGGAGCCCCATGGAACCCCTCACTGTCCCACCAGTCCTGGAAGGGCACCAGTTAACCACAGCGGTGGGGGAGCCACAGGGCCGGAAGAGTGGAGAGCCAGAGCCGAGGGGACGCAGCGCCAGCAGGGGGCTCCTGTGGGGGGCTCCCTCGGGGCTGGCGGGCAGCGTGCACTTCCAGGCCTGCCCCCAATCCTGAGACTCGGGGAGTGGGGTGGGACCCCGCCTCCTCCACACGCTCCCCGAGTGGTCCCCAAGGAAGCCAGGGTGGGGAACCCCTGATTCCGTAAACACCTTCATTTCACACATGGATAAACAGACCCAAAGAGGCCCAGTCCTTTGCCCGAGGCCTCTGGGTGGAGCTGCCTCACTCTTGGCCTGTGCTCCCTTCCTAGCCCACCTCAGCAGGTCATGAGGGCACCAGAGAGGGTGACAGCCCCAGTGGGAAGGCTGCTGGGGCGAGCCGGAGGGGCCAGGCAGGGCAAAGGGGCCACACGCTCACTTGGCAATGGTGTCCACGCCCAGCTTCACCCGGTCCCGGTCTTTGTTGAATGTGTGGATCTTCATGATGGAGGCAGCCACTGGGTCGGTGGAGAAGTGCTGGCAGGAGGGAAACGGAAAGCTGCTCACTGAGAACCCCGGCCACACGGCCCTCCGCTGCCCAGGTAACAGGGACAGGAAGAGGAAGGCAGAGCGGCGGCGTGGAGCAGCCCTAGCTGTGCACTCATCACAGAAAGGAAAAGAGAGACCCTCGAAGACCCCGGCCCTGCCCACACGCCAGGGCACAGGCGACACGGCCAAGACGGAGCAGAACTCAAGTCTGCCCTTCCGCCTTCTCAAGGCTAGACCCACGGGACTTGGGAGCCGGTGTGACATGACAGAACTTTGCCTCACACTCTGGCTTTAGAACCCGACCTCAGTGCTGAGATCCACCAAGGCCGCTGCCCCTTACAGAACCTCCCGCCACCATGGACACGGCATCCCTCCTCCTGATCTCACAGCCCCATGATGGACGTTCTGGAACAACTCCCGGCTCTCATGTCAAGAAAGAGACCCAGAGGCCCCTTGTCACAGGGATGGCAGGTGGCAGAGAGGGCACAAATGAGTCTGCAACCCTCAATGTCTGAAACTCAATGGCTGGAAGACGGATACCCCCAGCCCCTGCTCCACCCCGAGGTCCCGCCTATGTTACTAGGGGAGGGGAGAAGTCACAGCCGGAATTCCTGGGGTTTCCCAGAGCCAGCCCTGCTGACTGCGATGTACAGCGTCCCAGCACGGAGAGGCTGAGAACAGGTACCCTAAGACCCGGACAAGACTGAGGCACAAATCCATTCACGCTCGGCACAGCTACCGCACACGGCCACACCCAGAGAGCCACCCATGGCCTGGCAAGCAGGGCTGCCACCCGCACCTCCCTGGGCTGCCCAGATGAGGGCGGGTGAACAGCAGGGCCACCCAGGACCACGTGTCAGGATTCGGGCCAGCTGCCCAGGCAGCCCAGAGCTCCACCCACCACCCCCCACCCTCAACTGCACAACAGGGTCCCTCAGCAGCCCCCTGCGTCACACAGACCCATGACCCACACACTGAGCCAGGGCTCATGCCAACAGAAAATTGGGACCCAGCCCAGTCTGCTGGTTTAGTTGCCGAGGTGATGTGGGGAGCGGGGCAGAGCACGTGGATGCAGAGAGAGGCAGAGCTGCGAGACGCCCCTGCCGTCCCCAGGACAACAGCTTCCTGGGGATCAGAGTGCCCGGGACAGCACACCTGCCAAGGGAAGGGCGTCAGCTCCAAAAGCGGCCCTCAGGCGTTTTGGGCAACTGGCTGCCAGGCTTAGGTCAGGAGCTGGGTACGTGCACAGACAAGGGATGAAGGAACAGTGGCCAGGAAGGCGTCCAAATCCATACAGGAATGTACTTTGTAAGAAAGGTGGGATTTCACAGCTGTGAGCAAAAGACAGGTGCTCTCCACAGGTGGGGCTGAGACGAGAACTGAGCCAAGATCTAGAAAAAAATAACATCAGCTCCACCCTGCCGTGTTACGTAATAACACGCTCCAGCTGGATCAAAGCTTCAACCATGGAAACAACAAGCCAGCAGTCAGTGAGAAGCCAGAAGAAAAAAGCCACTGGGACGAGGCGGCGCGCCCGGTGGCTCACGCCTGGACACCCAGCACGTTGGGAGGCCGAGGCGCGGACGGATCACGAGGGTCACGAGAATCGAGGACCATCCTGGCCAACCATCGCGGTGAAACCCCCCACTCTCTACTAAAAACTACACAAAAAGTCCAGCCGGCGCGCGCCGTGGTGGCGGGCGCCATGTAGTCTACCGCCCCCTGCCTGCGGCAGGCGCGGCACGGAGAATCCCTTGAACCCGGGAAGCAGCAGGTTCGCGGCGGCGCCGAGATGCACCCACTGTACTCCACAGCTAGCCGTGACAGAGCAAGACTCTGCGTTCAGAAAAAAAAAATCACGCGCCCCGGGCGCGTGTGCTCAAGCCTGTAATCAGCATCTCTGGGAGCCGAGCGACCGGGCGGCCCACGCGGTCAGGCGATCGGCCGAGCACATCCCTGCGCTGACACGGGTCGAACCGTTCTACTAAAACATACAAAAAAGCTTTTCCGCGCACGCGCGAGGGTCGGCACGCGCGCCTGTAGTCCCAGCTACTCGCGGAAGGCTGAGGCCAGAACATCGCGCGTAACCACGCGCGCGAGCTTGCAGATGCCACCCGAGATCCGCCACTGCACTCCGCCTGGGCGAGCAGACGACCGACTCTCTCAACAAAAATAAAAACTAAACAAATAAATACACTACAACTACAACTAACACTGGACCAGAGGCCACAAAGACATCTCTCAGCCATGGAAGGGGCAAAGCATTCTAAGGAATGGCCCAAAACCCAAAACCATGAATACAGACTGACACATTACTAATTATACAGAGACAAAAAATCCTACCACAGCAACGAGAACATAGAGCACGACAGCATATGAGCACATACGAGGGAAATACTGTGCAACTCATACTCATAGCGCAAAAGCCTGATTGCCTAACTTAATATAATAGCAGTGCCACAAACTCACTAAGCAAAGACGCAACTATCTAATTCTCAAAACGAATGCTTTTCATATGACAACCACTCGGCCAACCCAACCCAAAATAAGGAAAGTGCAAATTAAATCTATCCTGGGATGTTATTTTCACTTGTCAATAGGGGTAAAGATCAAAGCTTGGTAATTTACAGTACGGTGAGAGGATGGGGACACGGGTGCTTTCGCACACACTGCTGGAGTAGGTGTGAGTCTGGACAGTCTCTATGGAACTGTTACTATTTTTTTTTTTTTTAGATGAAGTTTTGCTCTTGTCGCCCAGTGCCCAGGCTGGAACTCAATGGCACGATCTCGGCTCACGGCAACCTCTGTCTCTGGGGTTCAAGTGATTATCCTGCCGCAGCCTCCCAAGTAGCTGGGATACAGGCGCCTGTCACCACGCCTGGCTAATTTTTGTATGTTTAGTAGATACGGGGTTTCACTATGTTGACCAGGCTGGTCTTGAACTTCTGACCTCAGGTGATCCACCTGCCTCGGCCTCCCAAAGTGCTGGGATTACAGGCGTGAGCCACCACGCCTGGCCACTGTTATTACTTTTTGAGAAAGGGTCTCATTTATCACCCAGGCTGGTGTGCAGTGGCCTGATCACGGCTCACTGCAGCCTCCACCTCCCAGGCTCAAGCAATCCTCCTACCTTGGCCTTCTGAGTAGCAAGGACTACAGGTGCACGGCAGCATGCCCAGCTAATTTGTTTCTGTTTTTGTTTTTGGTAGAGACAGGGTTTTGCCATGTTGCCCAGGCTAAAGCCGAAGTTTCTGAGAACCTATTGATGGTGTTAAGTGAGGACTTGCTGTATTAGGGGAAAAAAGATGCTGTGCAAGTTATTTTTGTTCTTTTTTTTGTTTGTTTTTTGTTTTTTGAGACCGAGTTTCGCTCTTGTTGCCCAGGCTGGAATGCAATGGCACGATCTCAGCTCACCACAACCTCCGCCTCCCAGATTCAAGCAATTCTTTTGCCTCAGCCTCCCGAGTAGCTGGGATTGCAGGCATATGCCACCACACCCGGCTAATTTTGTAGGAAGTTCTTTCTGTACTGAAGCAAATAATACATAACCTTTTATGAAAAACAAAACCAGGCCAGGCACGGTGGCTCACGCCTGTAATCCCAGCACTTTGGGAGGCTGAGGCAGGTGGGTCACTTGAGGCAAAAGTTCGAGACCAGCATGGTCAACATGGTAAAACCCCATCTCTATTAAAAATACAAAAATTAGCTGGGCGTGGTGGCAGGCACCTGTAATCCCAGCTACTTGGGAGGCTGAGGCAGGAGAATCGTTTGAATCCAGGAGGCAGAGGTTGTAGTGAGCCGAGAATGCACCACTGCACTCCAGCCTGGGTGACAGGGAGACTCCATCTCAAAAAGAAAGACAAACCGAGCTGGGAGAGAGGAGATACGGATGCATACACAATGGTGTGCCTGGATTCGGCGTATCAGAAGAGGGACTTCACTACTAGCAGTGGGCTCTGGGGACTCTGGGAGGGACCTGTACCACCTGGGCTTCCGATGGGGGGTGGCTCAGGCACAGGAAGCTACAGGTTGGAGCAGGAGCACACGGCGCGCCACTCACCGAAAGAATGGCTTCCTTGATGCGGGCGTCCCGCTGGTCCTTCCTCAGGGTGGCCCCAGTGAGCGGACAGGTGAAGTACACACCAGGCACGGCCAGGTGGGCAGAGCCTTCCTCTCTGGGCTCAGACACCTGGGGCGGTGAAAGTGTCCGAGTCTGGACTGTGGACAGAAGCCACCCCCAGCCTCACCGAGCACCACAGTCCTGAGTGTGGCCCGCAGAACCAGACATCTCTAGCCCCCATGCTGTCCCTTCCACTTGGTGGCCATGAGAGACACCCTGGCCAAGTGACTGGATCCCTCAGTCTGTTCCCTGGTATGTCAAATGTCCCTGTGGGGCCTACTCAGAACTAAACAAGGTAAGGAACGGAAAGCATGGAGCAGCTTCTGACACGCAGGAAGCACTCAGCAGACGGCAGCTGGGCTCCTGCTGGTCCTGTCCCCGAGCTGGTGAGGAAGGAGCTCTGTGTGGGAGTCCGTGGGCACAGTGCCCTGGACAAGGCCTGACTTTTGGGCCTCCATTTCCAGGCCATCTCTAAGGTCCCTGCGTGCTAAAATTCACTGAATCCTCGAGGATCAAGCTGCTTAGAACTCCTTTCAGCAGAGCTCTCAAGGCCCACCTCCTACAGGAAGGCCTCCCTGATTCCACCTGTCTCCACGGAGCCCCTTGACCTCCAAGCCAGGCAGGAGCAGGCAGTGGTAGGGGACAGGCTCTGAAGCCACAGACTAGCCGGTCCTGTCTTTGCTGGTTCTGGGGTGTAGCAGAGAGGACAGCTGGTTTGACCTCTCTCAACCCCGGTTCTCTTTCTGAAAAGTGAGAACTGTAACTGCATCCACCTTAAGGGATTAAGGGGAGGGAGCGATGGGCTTATGTACCTGAGGCCCACTTCTCCAGGCCTGAGCCAGCATCCTCAGCTGCCGAGCCCCGAAGGTCCGGACAACACCATGTTCCACCACAACCCGCCTCTACCTTGCAGGGCAACGTTTCCTAACCACCCTGGAGCCCCAAGGTCCAGGCCACATCTCCCCTCCCCCACGATGAAGTCAAGCTGTCCCCACCCCTCAGCGTGGGACAGTGCCACCAGTGGCTGTTCTTACCACGTTGGTCCCTGGGGCCTCGGGGCTCCCGCTGACGGTGGCTTCGGCTTGAAGTTCCTTTCTCACTGGAAGGCAGCCCGAGAAGGAGAAGCAGAGACAGGGTGGTGAGCGCGCCTCTGTCCTGGCCCGAGCCCCTCCTTCCTGGGGTGGGCCCGTGAGCCACGCACAACGCCCCAGCCTGCTGCTGCTGGAGGTCAGGCTGGAGGTCCCCTGCAGGACTCGCTCTGCACCCACCCCTCAGCCTGAGCCAGCACCCCACTGCCTGCCCAGTCCCTGTTTCTGCTCCAAGTCTCTGTGCCCACCCCCTCCCCAGGGAGCTGCCCTTCCCCCAGCACCTGCCCTTGGTGAGTCGCTCCCAAGGGTGACCCTCACACCCCCAGAGCTGCTCGTGTGACTTCTGCGTCCAGGGCCAGGCACTAGGGCTTGGAACCTCAAACAGCCCCGACCTGGGCCCGAGGCGGGCCACGCCTCACCCTGGTTTCGGATGCTGTCCTGCGACGTGGGGCCCCAGGCCCGGGACTGCTTCTGCTCCAGCCGGGCCAGGGCGGCAGCGGCCGCCATCTGTGCCTCATTGGTGGGTCCCTGGCGGGGCGGCCTCGGGGCCGGCTGGCTGGACTTCTGTTTGGGGGCCTTTTCCCTAGGGACAGACGGAGGGAGAGCGAGTGTATCCTCCTGAGGTGGCCGGCAAACCTGACGTGCGGTCACACAGGGGAGCTTCTGCTGCTCCCCAGCTCCTGCCACCAGCACCACCAGTCAGACGTGTCCCTGCCTATGCGGGCCAGGACGCCTGCTTCCCAGGGGCCACCCGCAGCCACCAGATGGTTCTTCTGCAAGCGGAAGAGCCCCTGGACGAAGGAGATGCTGGTTCCGCTCAGTTCTGCACCACAGGGCAAGTCCTGCCCCACTGGGCCTCAGCATCCTCGTTTGTAAAATGGGGCGGCAGCACCCCTCCCGAGGCGAAGGCACCTTGATATCCTCAGTGCTTTTTCTTTTTTCTTTTTGAGACAGGGTCTTGCTCTGTCACCCATGCTGGAGTACAGTGGCACGATCACGGCTCACTGCAACCCTGAGTTCCCAGGCTCAAGGAATCCTCCCGCCTCAGCCTCCCGAGTAGCTGGGACTTGGAGGCAAGCATCATCACGCATGGCTAATTTTTCTATCGAGACAGGGTCTCGCTGTGTAGCTCAGGCTGGTCTCGAACTCTTGGCCTCAAATGATCCTCCCACCAGGGCCTCCCAAACTGCTGGGACTACAGGCATGAGCCACAGCACCCAGCCCACATCCTCAGGAATTGAGGAGACTCAAGGGATGCCACATCCTCCCCCACTCCCTGCTGTGACAGTCTCCACCCTCAGGTCACAGCTTCGTTTGCTGAGCACCTACTGTGTGCTGGGCCCCCTGCTGGGAGCTGGTCGGCTCGGTTGGTTGACTCCTCCTAACAAGCTGCCAGGGAGGCCTCACCATCGCGTTCCCAAACCCAAGAGGGTCAGGAAGTCCGGGCAATGTGCCCGATGCCACACCACCCTTGTGGCAGGACCCTGGGGTCAGCGGACAGCAGAACCAGCCTCGCCCTGGCCACTCCATGCCAGGCCCGGGGCTGTGCAAGTACCAAGAGCTCATGGACTCGCGGTTCCGCCCTGTTGAGCCCTACACCAAGGAGGGTTCCATAATCCACTTGGCACAGTGGCCTGGCAGAGAAGCCCTTTCTGCCAACCTGCTCGGACGCGTCCGTCTCGCCTGTCTCCTCTCAGGCCCCTCCCGTGAATTCAGGGACTGTGTCACTTTCCATGCCGTAAGTCTATTAAAACTTCCTGGAGGCCAGGCTCTCAGTTCAAGCCCTGTACTCCTCTGGCTCTGCTTAGATACCCGGCAGCCCTCCCTCCTCGTCTCGAGGCTTGGCTTCGTGCCCACCCCTGCCTATCTAGTCCTCCCACAGCGGAGCATCTTGGGGGGAAGAGGAGATGACTCATGAAGACCCATCCTGCCGCCATCCGGTATCTAGGTCTTTCCAACAAAATGGCACCTCACCCCAACCGGTCATGGACCCTGACCCCCCTGGGCAGCCACAGGGACCCTTCTGCAACCTCAGCCAGGGAGCGTCAGCATCACTCCACTGCACGACGCCCTCCCACTGCAAAATCCTAAAGCCTCCCTCGGCCGGAGAGCCCCTCCCGGCCTGGCCCACTGCCCTCCCCTGGCTTGTCTGCCCTGGGCTCCCCGCGGTTCTTCCCATACCCCAGCTGCTCCCCGCCGCAAGCCCCTGCACTGTCTGCGCCTTCTGCCCACAATGTTCTCCCGCGGGGAGGGAGGAGGACAGGGGATCTGGAAAGGGCTAGAGCTGCCACAGGAAGGGAAGGAGGGTGCTGATTTCCCCACAGCTGAGTCTGTGTCCTGGGAGAGGCCTTCCCAAACCACCTGATGGCGTCTGCTCACCCTCCTCCAAGGCCCTGGGCACCGCCTGAGCCCTCATCTGAGGTCTGTTGGTTTATTTGTCCATCAGCTCCCTCTAGAAGGTGAGCCCTGGGACAGCAGAGGCCTTCTCCTGTCCACCACTGCAGCCTAGAACAGGACTTGGCGCCCACACGCCCCACACACCCTGGATATCCAGTCTCGCTCCAGAGGGGACCTCTGCACCCCTTCCCTTCCCGAGTCTCCCCTCTCACCTTCCCCTCTCCGCCAGGCTCTGGGCTGGCCCAGCCATCACCCTGATGCCCTGCATCCTTCCTGTCACGCCCAGTCCTAACCCCACCCACTACTGGTTGAATCAATGAAGGGCTCCCCCCATTTGTCCACTTCTCTCCCTGACCCCTCTCCCTCTCTCACTCAGCCTTTGTTCTCCTGCTCTCCCCTAGGAACGCTGAAGTCCTCGCTATGCCCCTACCTCCATCACCACCCCACCAACCCGTGATTCCCTGACCCCCACTTCCTGCCACCTCCCTGCCTCTCCTTCTACCCCCTCCCAGCCCCCACCCCTTCACAATCCCTTCCATTATTGCTTACAGACCCCTGCCCTGGCTGCCAGGCTGACCTCCTTCCTCAGTCACTCTCCATCAGTCCCCACCACCCCCTGGCCAGCCAGCTCCCTGCAGCAGCCCCAGCTCTTCCAGCTTCCCTTTTCTCAGCACAGCAGCCCTCAGCCTCGCACCCTCTCCAGCGCCACTTCTTTCCCGGCCCTCCACCTGCCCTCCCAGCTGGCTCAGCTCTGCTCAGGCCCTTCTCTCCAAGTCCTGCCTAGACGATCCGGAAGCCTGCCCGGCACTTATCTCCTTTCCCCTCCCCTCTCACCTCCATAATCCACTTGACACAGTGACCTGGCAGAGAAGCCTCGCAGAGAAGGCCTTTCTCCCAACCTGCTCAGGCGCGTCAATCTCGCCGGTCTTCTCCTCTCAGGCCTCTCCCGTGTCACAGTCCATCTGTCAGAGTCCCTCACCTCCAGTCTCCTCACACACCTTCCTCAGCCCCTCCCAGGTGACTGAAGACGCTACCCACCCCGGCCTCCTTGGCCTTCCAGACTCTTCCTGGTCTCCCATTAGACTCCCACGTGCTCCAGATCCCAAGTCCAGAACCCCTCTTCCCATGGATGCCTCAGAACAACTCTCCACCACCCCACCCCACAGCTGTGCGTCTTCCTCCAAGCTCAGCTCTCACCCATGGTCACCTAGATTCCCCCAAATCATCCCGGCCACTTAAGGACCAGCCAGGTCCCCAGATCTCTCCCTCACCAGCCGTCTCAGAACTGATCATTCCTTTTTTCCCCCAGGGTCGCTCCACTGACCCCCAACTTCCTGCAGCCCCGCCGCCCTAATCCCCCGCCACTGCCTCGGACCCTCCTGCCGGACCCGCCGAGACTCTCCCACGGCTTGGCACCTGGCTCATGTACCCTCCCGCCACTCCTGCCCGAACAACAGACAACCAACCCGCCCTCCTGCCCGACAAACAAACACGAGAATCCTCTCTCCCTAATATATTCCGCTTGACGCCCATCCTCGGCCCACTTGGCCCCGGGGAGTTTCCCCTTTGACTCGGCTGCCGCTCCCCAGCTCGCCTTCCGATCTCTCCGAGCCGTCCGAGGCCCAGACCCATCTCCCCGGCAGCCACTGGTTCCTCACGCACACGACTCTGTGAGCTTCTGAACCAGCGATCCCGCGCTCTTGGAACCTTGATGTCCGGCCTTGAACTCCTGAAAGAATTTCTTCATGGTGGCGGCGGCCGGCGGCGAGGGGCCGCGGGGGCGGGGGGCACAGGGCCCAGTCGGGGAGGGGCCGCCCGGGACCAGCCACCGGAAAAAAAATACCGCGCCGCCGGAAGTCCCGCCTTCCCGAGGCCGGCCACGTGACAATAGGCTAGACGTGCCTCTCTAGCGCTCGGTGCCTCGCTGGCCCAGGGCGGCCGCTCTGTACGCTGGAGCCGCGTCTCTGTGGTTCTTCCGGATTCCGTTGCCAGGGCGACGAGTGCGCCTCTCGATTAGAGTCAGTGCCTTGCCTGGCACCTTCCGTGGCGCTCCCCAAACGGTGACAGACGGTGACAGGAGAGGGACAGGACGACTGAACCTCGCAGAGAAAGCACTGGGCCCTGTCCCTTTCGCTGCTCAACCTAAGCTCGGCGCGGTGGCTCACGCCTGCAATCACAGCACTTTCGGAGGCTCAAGCGGGAGGATTGCTTGATTCCAGAAGTTGGAGACCAGTCTGGGCAACATGGCAAAACCTCGTCTCTATTTAAAAAAAAAAAAAAAAAAAGTAAAATAAAATAATAGCCGAGGGTGGTGGCGCGCACCTCTCAGCTACTTGGCAGGCGGAGGCGGGAGGACCACTTGAACCCAGGAGGTCGAGACTGCAATGAGCTGTGATCAAGCCACCGCATTCCAGCCTGGGCGACAGAGAGAGATCCTGTCTCAAGCAAAACAAACAAAAATCCAACCTTCCCTGTCTCCCCAGAGCTTACGTGATAAAGTCCCAATTTAATGTGGGGTATTGGAGGCCCCCACCTTCTGGCCCTATTTTGGTCCCTGAAGCCCCCACCCCCACCCCACCACCACCACCACCACTTACCCTAGGTAGAAGCTGTTTAAGAGGATGCACCCAATTGGGACCTGGGGATCCACTTTCGTGGACAAGACAGAGAAACCAGTTACTAGTGGTGTACTTTGGGCTGTGCGATTCGCAAAGAAGATACACAAAATGACAGTTAAAACAAGCTTCCAAAAAAGGGAGTTGGGGGTCAGACGTGGTGGCTCATGCCTATAATGCCAGCACTTTGGGAGGCCGAGGCCAGCAGATCATTTGAGGTCAGGAGTTTGAGACCAGCCTGGCCAACATTGTGAAACCCTGTCTCTACCGGCGCCGGTAATCCCAGCTACTTAGGGGGCTGAGGCAGGAGAATCGCTTGAACCCGGGAGGTGGTGGTTGCAGTGAGCCGAGATCTCACCACTGCACTTCAGCCTGGACAACAGAGGGAGACTGTGCCTCAAAAAAAGAAAAACAAAAACAAAATAAAACAAAACAAAAAAGGAGTTGGAATGAGATACACAGAGACTGAGGGAGGAGAGGCCTCCAGGTAAGGAAACAGCCCACTCTAAGACTGAAATTGAAATAACATGGGTTGGACAAGTGACTCAGGCCTGCAGTCCCAACATTTTGGGAGGCCAAGGTAGGAGGATTGCTTTAGCCCAGGAGTTTGAGGCTGCAGTGAGCTATGATAACACCACTGCACTCCAGCCTGGGCAAAGAGCCAGACCCTGTCTTATTAAAAGAGGAAAAAAAATTGGGCTGGGCACAGTGGCTCACACCTATAATCCCAGCACTTTGGGAGGCCAAGGCGGGTAGATTACTTGAGGTCAGAAGTTCAAGACCGACCCAGTCAACATAACAAAACCCCATCTCTACTAAAAATCCAAAAAGTAGCCAGATGTGGTGGTGTACGCCAGTAATCCCAGCTACTTGAGAGGCTGAGGTAGGAGAATTGCTTGAACTCAGGAGGTGGAGGTTGCAGTGAGTTGAGATTGTGCCATTGCACTCCAAAAAAAAAAAAAAGAGAGCACTGGGCCCTGAGAAGTGGCTCATGCCTGTAACAATCCCAGCACCTTTGGACAC